AAAAGGGAAGGGCCCGACATGATCGCAGTGCATCCACCCAAGTTCCGCATTTTCTCTAGGATTTAGATTTGTACTATGATGATTTCTCTCATTCGACATACTTGTTTGGGTTTGTTATGAACACTTGATGATTTTCAGTTAAATTAAAAATGAAAATTTTATCTATGTTTTTGGGACGTTACAAGCGAAATGATTAAAATGATCCTTTTGTAAAAGAACATCACAATAATGGTCCGGAGTGGGTAGAGGTGTAAACAAGACGAGACAACTCATGAGAAACTCGAGCCCAACTCGAAAAATACTCAAAATCGACTCGACTTTAATTGAGCTCGAGCTACTCAAGTACCTTAATGAGCCGAGCTCGAGTAGTAAAATACCCGGCTCATAAAGCTCACGAGCTGAATCGAGTATTTATAATATTACATTTTTACCCTTTAACGTTTCAATACTTTTAGCTTTTAGGCACCGGTTAAGAAATAAGGACTTAAATTGTATTTCAAAACTTTTGCGAATGTTTCTTTTTAGTGTTTTGGATGTATGTAAAATGCAATGAAATAGATGGTTGATGTTATATTGACATTAAATGATTTATTTTGAATTTTTTGTTATTTGAACAATGTAAAAGCATGTGGAATGTTAATAATTTTTTATGCTTTTAACTTTTTTTTTAAAATTTTAGTTGAGTCGAACCGAGCTCGATAGTATCGAGTATTTCATGAGTCGAGTTTGAGATTCAAATTTAGGCTCGATACGAGTTCGAGTCGAACTTCGAGCTCGAGTATTTTAGGCGAGTCAAGCTTCGAGCTTGACAGTACTCGACTCAACTCGACTCGTTTACACCCCTACGAGTGGGGTTTGATTATTTTTGAACAATGGTGGTGGTGGACTATGGGAGATGAAGAACGCATATGGTGGGATTGAGTTTTTCTTAACAGTGGGGTAGTGTTGGTGACTAGCTAGAGATGAAGTAGTTGTATCCGGGGTGGTGGCGGCCTATCGACGAGTTCAACGGTGGGCGTGAGGTAGTGTGAGACATTCTCCAACTTTATTTTTTATTCTTCATTTGCCATTATATTTTAGAAAACGTTTCATTTTCGGGCCCTTGACCGGTCACCAACAGGTCATGATGACGTGTCGATTTTGCATTTTCCTAAGCTTGCATTTTGCCCCAACATTTACGTATAACTATGTATTTAGCCCCAATATCTTTTTTGTTCCCCATTTGCCATTGTTTTTTAGAAAAACTTTCATTTTAGCACTTGGCCAATTATTAATAGGTATTTTCATTTCTTTGGTTTCCCAACAAATATGTCATTAGAAATATTTGGTTTCTTAACAAATATGTCATTAGAAATAATCAATTGTTTTTTGGATGAGTTACAAACGAATTAACAATTTTAGATTAGCATATCATATTGTTTATCAGATGTCACAGACTTAAGACCTACAATAGGTCTTTTTTCTTCATTTTAAAAATACATGTGTACGTTAAATTAAATGCAACAAACACTGATAATATAAAAAACCCATTAACTTACCAGCTAACACGCCCCGTCCCTTATAGAGAAGGCACATTTTCGACTCTTTAGAAATATATGGTTTCTCAACAAATATGTCGGTAGAAATAACCAATTGTTTTTAGACGAGTTACGAATGAATTAACAATTTTGATTAGCTTAAAAATTAGCATGTCATATTGTTTATTAGATGTTACAGACTCAAGACTTACGTTAGATATTTTTCCTTCATTTTAAAATACATGTGTAGATTAAATACAACAAACACTGATGATACAAAAAAGTGAGTCATTGGCTTAACACGCCTCGCCCTCAAGGAGAAGTCGTAGTTTCAACTTTTACCTCCGTTTTTTCATTTTTAATTTTAAGTTATTACGTTTTAATATACCTATTCGTGACTGGCCAAGGGCTAAAACGAAATTTTGTCTAAAAAACAATGGCAAATGGGGAACAAAAAAATATTGGGCTTAAACGCAAACTTATACGTAAATGTTGGGCTAAATGCAAACAGAAAAAAAATGCAAAACTGACACGTTATCATTGCCTGTTGATGACCGGTCAATGGCCCAAAAATGAAACGTTTTCTAAAATATAATGGCAAATAAAAAACAAAAAATAAAATTAGGGTTAAATCGAAACGAAGGTATATAAATAATGGTTTTTAAGATATTAACCCTAAGGAATACCGTAAATTTTAGAACCATAAAAACCGATGGATGCAATTCTTCAAAAATAAAAGGGCTATTTGCAATAAAAACCCAATATTTACCCATTTTTTTCGTTTTAAACCAAAAGGTTTGTTTGTTTCCCAAAAAAAACCCAACTTTTTGTAAAAATGTGTTTTTTTTGTCTAGTAACCGGGTGACCCGTCTTCCTTTTCCTTTGCCTTCACTGTAGAAAAACAGAAAAACAGAAAAACATATCCACCTGCAATTCCAAATTTCACCATTGATTTACACAGCTAGTTGGTTTTAAATTAACTAATGAAAAAAACTATTAATTGTTAATGCATATAAAATACATTATACATCCATGACATCCCATTTATGCCCCTGGTTGATAACCCAACGCATTTGAAGAACCATTCTTGCTAAAAGCTATGCATATAAAATCCGACGAGGGTGAGGTTGTTTGGTTCTAGTGTTTAGGTGACTTGAGATACACATCAAGTAAGTTCTTATTCTCCTTTTCTTTTTTTCTTTTTCTGTTTTTGTTTTCGGATGAGGGTTCTCGACAAGAGGTTAAACCGAAGGGAAAGCAACGAGAGGAAATTAGTTTTTTTTTTGTTATGTTGTTTCTTTTCTTCACTGATTCGTTTTTTTGCAGGTTCAGACTAGGTGAAGAAGATGAACAGTAGCTTCGTTCTTGGCTCGGAAGAAGATATGTACTGATGGTTGTTCGAAGGAGGTGGCGACGGGTTGGTTTATGTTTTTAGGTGGTCTCGGCTAGAGGCAGGGGTTCGAGTATCGATGGAAAGGGCGAAGGAGGAGAGGTGGATTCGGTGATGATGCAAAACCAAAGGCGGGTTCCGGTTTCTCGATGAGCAAGGATGGAAAGGTCTCGAGTCTCGGCTAGAGGGCAAAGAACACATCAACAGTTTTTTTTTTTTTTTTTTTTATATGTTTCTTTTCTTTGTTGCAGGTGTTTTTTGATGGAGAAGATGAAGAGCAGCAGTAGGCTTTTCTTCTTTTTGTGATGGAGGTTGTGTAAGGGAGGTCTAAAGTGGTGGCTATGGATCTGGTTTGTTCTAGTTCAAGATCAACAGAGTGGCTCCAGTGTTGGTTTCTCGGTAAAAGCTCTTCCTGGTTCGTTTCAATCGACACAAAAGGATGGGTGGGTAGTGGGTACCCACTCAACCGGTTAGAAGACAAAAAAACAAGTTTTTGCAAAATGTGTGGTTTTTTTTGGAAAAAAACAAACCTTTTGGTTTAAAACGAAAAAAACAATTAATATGGGGTCTTTATTGGAAATAATCCAAAATAAAATTGAGCATGCAAAAAAGGTGCAAACCAAAAGGACAAAAACTGTAATTTAATGTAAATAAAAGGGTGAAAAGATTACAAATTTACAACTGGGCCTGGTGTTTCCGGAAACTTCTGTTGGGAGATCTTCCTTCCTCTTCTCGGTTCCTCACTTCCTCTTTATTTTTCGCCAGACTAGGGCATCGAGTTTCAGTTCTTGATTCAGTCCACAGGGTAGCAAGGTAAGCTTCACTGCATTTCCTCTTTAATTGCTTCATTATAAATCCGTGTTTCATAGTTAGATCATTCGGAATTGATTCATCCAACAACCCATTCCATTTTCCATATATTCGTCTAATGTTTTCCATGCAGTTCAGCTTAAATTCTATGTTCTGATAGGCAAAATCTTGCTATGGAAGCCATGTCGTTTTTGCTAATAATAAGAGTAGGAAAAAGCATAGTTTCATTTTAACTGTATAAAACCTCTTAATTCTCGAACCTGGAAGCGAAGCTAGTTCGTTTGGGGTTTCGATCTAGTACTCCTCCTTGTCAAAGAAGATACTAACGTTTTTAGGTTAAACGCTCTACTTCTCAAATGCAAAATCGATGTCAATTTTGATTATAACATAGGACTTGCTATAAAAATTGATAAAGCCATTAAGCTCTTACATGAAGCTTGAAATACATATCATAATTTAGAGTTGTAAAGTATCAAATCGCAACTGTTTGCTCTTTATTTTGAATCAGCGGGAGAATCATTGATTGTGAATCGCGAATTTTGTTGAACTAATTGTGATTTATTCATACAAACTCATTTTCTTTCATAGATTTGAAGAAATGACAGGAGCAAAGATTGTTGGCAGTGTTGCAGGAGCATTTGTTCTTGCATTTGCATGCGACTATATCATTGCAGACAAGAAGATATTTGGAGGCAAGTATATATAATATATTTGCACAACTCTTCAGAATATGAATGTCCAATCATCTGAAAGATTATTACTGTTTGTTTGTGTATATTTAGGTACGACTCCCTCTACAGTTTCAAACAAGGAGTGGTGGGAAGAGACTGACAAGAAATTTCAGGCATGGCCTCGTACAGCTGGACCTCCAGTAGTCATGAATCCCATCAGTCGCCAGAATTTCATTGTCAAGGCCCGAGATTAAACCTAAATCCTGCAACTGCTCTTTGAATGATTAAGCTTCAATTTCAATCCTAAGGTTAAGGTGATTACTGATTACTCTCCTCCTTTCTGTATGTGGAACATTTGAACATAGTTTTCATGGAAGATCGTATTGTATTATACTCGAGCGTATGGTGTTGGTTTGATATGTTTGTGAATCGAAATTGATTTCGATTTTTCATAATATAGATTGAATAGTATGAACTAAAATACTAAATTAAAGTTCATGTTTATATTATTGATATAACTTAACTATAAAGAAAAGGAGATAACCAAAAAGATGGTTAAATGCCTTGCATGATCTTCATTTATGATGTATAATAATCTAATCTATGATCCAACCCTCACACACTTTAAGAAAATATCTCTCTTATAATACCAGTATACAAATACAACATCCAACTCATTGAGTTCATCACTTCTCTCTAATAGACAATACCTTAACATTATCCAACACCGGCCCACAAAAGTGTCCATAGTCATTAAGCTTATTATGATAAAAAGCACTATAAAATGTAAGCCTTGTTCGGATCGAAGTAGCTATAAACTTGAGAGTAGCAATCTTCAAGTCACCCTTTCCTTTCGATTCATGCTTCACTTTCACAGTCTCGTTTCCTGCAAAAGCCTCCACCATCATCGATCCATGGCAGTTGTTCCCCGCATCTCCAATGGTGAACGACAGTACATAGGATTTATTGGGAACTGTACGAATGATTTGTGCGATTGCGGTTTCTCGCCCTCCTACTAACTCGATAGCTGCAAGGCCATGTGGCACCATGAAGTGCTTGGAGTCGATGTATTTTGCTGGTTTGAGCGACTCAACGATCCACCCTGGGAGTGGGGAAACTATGTCGTGTATTTTGGGGAGTAAGAGGACTCCGGTTGAGTAGTTCTTGAACACATGTGGACCATTTTCAAAATCGCCGTTTTTCACCAAGTTTCCTATATTTCAGAATCATTTTATATGGATCAGGGACAAAAAAAACATAATAAAATGAAACCATGAGATTGTCTCGTTACTTACCTTTGGTGTAGGTCAAAGGAAGCATTTCCTTGATTGCAATGGCATCCAAGAGGGGCCCACAAGTGGGGTCCTCTTGTACACCAGGGTTGTGAAATGTGACTTTGATTTGACTTGAAGTAGCCTTGAAAGCAAAAGCATAAGTGTCACCTCCATCGCTGCTATACAATGTTTGGATCGAAAGGTCACTTGATTGACCAGAAGCCGAGACTCTTAACACCTCGTCTTGAGCACAAGTCCTTGTGGCCGCAAACGTAAGGGAATACACTCTCCCTGGTTTAACATCAACATTTTGGGATATAGAGGCTTCGTTGCCTAGCCTTGCTGCGTGGGCCCCACGTGGAATTGCAAAATAGAACCCACCTGGTTGGGGTCCACCGTGCACATATTCCACCACACCCGAGATTTCCCATTTGGGCAATGAGTACTTCCCTAAGATTACCGTATTCTTAATTTTTGTCGAGCTTGGCCCTTGTTCAAAGTTGCCATTCGCAAGAAACCCTATTACGTGAAACGAGAAAAATGCATTTACATAAGTTAAACGTTGTATTAAAGATTAATAAACAAAACCGCAAACCAGATAACACAATAAATGACTATGCCATGTAGCAAAAACAGTACAAGTTAATACATAAATATCATTCTAATCAAAGCACTTACCATCTAGAAACGGAGTTGTAGCACCTAGAGAATAAGATATTGTAGAGAAAGAGATGATACAAAGTAAGAGGAGAGAGCCCATGTTTTCTGTGTTGAAGAAAAACAAAAAGGAATATAATCGCTTTAATCTCTCTCTTAGTCAAAATCTACAAATTCGTAGATTCGACTCGTATTGAATGAATGAATAGGTAGGAAATACGAAGGCTATATATGCAACAATTTTGGAAATATCGAGGAAAAAGCATACCACGTTAAAGTAGCACAAAATCAGGCGAGAAATGTGTTTGGGTGTTTGCTTTTGGACCCACAAAACTGTGTGCAACTCACACTGTCGGCCGTAATTTGCTCTGAGTGAAGCTTCTTAGATTCCTTGCGTTACATACGAACACGATCCATACTATTTTTAATCTTCTTGATGATTGCAAATCGGGGGAACCTTGGCAGATAATTGAAACGTTTAATACTTTTATATTTATGCACGTGATGGTAATTATTTGGATCTGTTTATGAAAAGATAAACGGTTACTTAAATAATACATTGAGCTCGGTATATTTTCTTATATTATCGTATTTGCAATTTAGTACTAAATTAAATATTGTATTTTTTTTTTATAAAATATGAAAGAAATACAAAAGTTAGTCAGGAAAACGATTTGCAACCGATTTTAGTAACGATTTTCATATCTATATTAATATTCACCTCTTTTGTCAGTTATGGTTTTGTCCTGATTCAAAAATAGATCAGTCTCTCGTTGCATGCCACGTCCAATCGGAGGCAAGTTTAGGTCGTTTGTTGGGTTTGAAGCTCAGTTTCATGAGAGCTAGAGTTTCGCATAAGGCGTGGGCCATCAGCCCATTTATGTCTTTAACTGGGCTTTAAACAGTAAATGAGCAGCCCAGTATTGGACTTCACGGGCTTTATTTCGGATCATATATCCAGGGTTTTGTGGGCTTACCAGGACCTGTTGGGGTGAAATTGTTCATAAAAGTAGCTGTGTATATACTATAGTTCTAACATGAATATAAAGATATATTTTTGTAAGTGAATGCCTTGAATGGAAAAAAATAATAATAATTCAAGTACTACGTTGTAATAGGATTAAATAAAAGTTGGATGAAAAAATTGGTGTAAAACTGTAAGTACATAAAAGGAAGGATTATCAAATTTAGTAGGATGCTACAATGTAGCCATGGACGACTGAAACAAGTAAACTTTAGAAAATACTACATAGTTATTTATTAAGATGGATGTATATAAGATTCGGAAATTACAAAAAGAAAAATAAAAATATATGATAAAATAACATTCTAACGTTTCCTAAGAAAGAAACAGATGTTTATTGATTAACAATTAATAATTTAATATTACATACAGCCAGGATTGAAGAGCATTCAAGTTTCATACACCTTCCATTCTTAAATCTCAACCTTCCAAGGTCAGCTCTTTGCAACATCCCCTTGTACTCTGCGCAGTAGTTGTCGTACATTCAAGTCATCGTTTAGTATTTCCTTACGCAAATCATCTCTGCGGGGTATTTAATCTTCAAGGAGAAGTGAAAGAATCGGTGGGTTCAAACCACTTGTCGTATCCATCGCTAGGGTTCTTATTCACCACAGACTCAAATGTGCCTTTGAGTTTGCGTAAGCGTTTGTGGTAACGAATTCTCCGGAGAACCGCCTCTTTGTCGAGAGAAGCAGCGGATTGATAATGAGCCAGTTGGAGTTGAGTAGTTACCGGATCTGTAGCACCGGGACCGAGATCTTCGGTTTCCGGCGGAGTTGTGGTGGAGGAAATCGAGTGTGATTTAGCTTTAGAGATCGTAAAATCCATTTTCGAACGAGGAATGGCCGGTATAGAAGGCTGAAGGCGGCGAGTATATATATAATATCAAGTCGGAGTGTTTCTGTGGGTTTATGATCGGACGGCAACTGTAGATGGTTTTGGAAAGTCGGCTTAGTCTTATCTTCATGGTGTACGTTCCAGTGACGCATGTGCAAGTGTACTATTATATATATTTTCGTAAACGTAGCTCTTTTTTATCTTGTAAATTGTAATTGTAATATATTATATATATATAAATATATAGAGTTTTATTGTAGTTTAAAATTGTAATAAAACTTTTTTTGGCATGAGTAAAATGATTATAATTTTAGTTTTCTATACAAATTCAAGTTAGAAGTTTATATAATATCAATTGAAAATATTAATTATGAAGATAAATAGAAGTTTGTTTTTAGATAATTGCTTATATTATTTAAAATTTTGTGTGATAATAATCATCGTATAATAGTACTATAGTTTATTAAAATAGTATAGAAGTTACACATGAACTGATATGACGTCATGAAAGTAATGTTATTACTTTTACAAACAATGGGCAATGTGAGAAAACAGAGGCTATAGGGAGAGGATCATCCCATGGTTTTGGCATTTCATTTAACTTTAATAAAAACCTTCTATAATTTGATATAAATAAATTTATTTTAATCTGATATTTTTATTTTATTTTATTTTGTTTTGTTTTTATTTTTGTCTTTTATCTTTATTTTTATTATTATTATTATTATTATTATTATAATAGTTTTAATTAATTATGTATTATTTTTACTTAGTCGTGTTTTAGAAAAAAAATATTTTTTATATATAATTGTATTTTTTATTTTTCGTTGCGATTATCCATGCATTTTTTTCGTTCTAACTATCCCTAAGTTATTTTTTTGTTTGAACTATGAATGTGTTATTTTTCGTTCACACAATCCTTGTATTTTTTTTTGTTCAGACAATCCATGTTTTAATAACAATGACTTTATGTGACATTCTGTTTTTTACGGTCAGAAAAGACCGATTTGTTTATGCTTATTAAATCAGAGTATTCTTTTAAAAATATTAATTATGCGAACATGATAATAAAATTATCAAAGCATTTTCGAAAAAATGTGTTTTGTTTATATTTTTAAAACTCGGGATGCCATAACTGATACAAAACATAAACATAAATGTTACATCGTCTTAGACTAACAACCTACATCTCCTTGAATCTCTCATTGTGCATGTACCTTTGTACCGTTATTTGTGATACAAAGAAGTTGAGTGTGTCAGGTTGGAAACCTGGTGAGTACATATAGATTTCAATCCCATGATGATAATATATATATATATATATATATATATATATATATATATATATATATATAATATATATATATATATATATTACAACTTGCAATATACACCTCATATAAGTAAACTACCCCATCTCGTCGATCCTCACACTTTAATCCTAAACTGTGACAACCCGAACCTTTCTCTAGTTTCCGTTAATTAATTTCCATTAATAAAATTTCATTTTATTGGGTTCCGTCAACTTCCTTCGGTGTGGAAAATCATTTATCTATATATTTTAAGTTCTATATTCGAGTCGGAACCAAAACCACGCGAAATTTCGGGAATTCCTTCGAACAAGACCGAGTTCACGGCTGGACTTGAGTTCACGGCCGTACACTCGTATACGGCCGACATTGGGTGGACCCCACCACCGACCAACGACAACCCCTATAAATATGAGACCCTACCCCCTCATTTACACTCTTCTGGCCGGACACTCTCTCCTCTTCTCTCTAGACTATCGACCGTACACCCCTAAAGACACCCTTAACCTTCCGGAAAACATCGAGAAACACCATTTGGGGTCATTTCGGAGCATCTAGAAAACGTTTCTCGTCGAAATCAGCACCTTTGTTCTTGAGTGTACGGCCGTACACCTTCAAGTTCAGTGACCGCATACCAGTCTACGGCCGTACTCCTTCAAAGGCCGTACACCCTTCAAGAGGTTGTCTACGGCCGTACACCTGTATACGGCCGTACACCTGTCCACGGCCGTACACACTTCCTAAGCATTGATTTAGACTGAAAACCCACTTTACTCGATTCGATCAAGTCCCAGTAACATTCATTAACCGAACTCAAGTGTTTTTCTACACTTTATCTAGTGAAATCACTAATTTAAATACATAAATGTATTTAATTGTTATTAGGATTCCTTTAAGTGCCACACGCTACAACTCGATGGTCTTCATTCCAATTCATTGATTCGACGTCTGCATACTATTATCAGTGAGTTCATACCCCTACGCTTTTACGGTTTTTAATGTTTTCAGGGGGGGGGGGGGGGGAATAAAAGCCAAACACAAATGATTTTAACAAGTTTTAAACTTATTAAGACAGTCAAACGATTTCCACATTTTATAAAATATTTAGATATTTTATCCATTTTGTATTATGTTGAGCATAAGGGACACTTTTATTTTTGAAAACACAATTTCATAGTTTTCGGAATAATTTACAAACAAAATACATATCATTTCAAGTAAACTATAATAGGTATAGTTTGGGGTTTTCAATACACAGCTTTTACGAATTCAGAGTTATACACTGCTAAACATATAAACAATGACAGATTTAGTTTATGATATACATTACTACAGGAGTACAATATTTAATAATTATTTAAGTATAATTATTTCTTTAAGCAGTATACAACGGACCCAAATACAAGAGAATACTACAGAATTACACATAAACTAGATTATACAGGATTGTGAGACTCTACTTCAAAACTGTACCCTTAGGTGTACTGAATTAAATCCTATCATAGTATAACTAGAGTCTCCTGGAGGAAGAGCGTGAGATTTGTGAATAGATCTATTCGGGACTGATAATCCCACACCTGAACTGCTAGCTACAGTTAGGCAGGCATGCCTGAGGTGACAAATGTCATTTAACCGACACCTGAAGAACGTCGTAATGGTCACTAGGTCATATCAAACATGGTTATACGACTCACAATAGTATAAACTAATCATTTGTTTACAGGACTTCATTCTTCATTAGTTTTATTTTAAGTAATGAAACTACTTTTACATATTGATATTAGCAAGGTTTTTCATACAGAATATACTATATAAAGGTTTTTGTATAAGAATATACACATACTACGGTTGATAGTAACTAGACATGCAAACTAACGTTTTTCTATACTACAACAGAATACAGTAATAAATATTCATAGTTAATTCTATAACTCCTTAGTTTAGGCATCAGGGTTACATATGGAGCATATTCGATAGACTGTGGAATGTGTGGTTTCCGCCTCATTTCCTGTTCCTTGTTTGGTTGTGGATTTAGGGCAGATTCACATAGTCAACTGTCTGTTCGATATTGGTTTATACGTGGCTAGCATGAACTAAGTGGTTATAGATAGAACTGATATTATCTCACTCTTACTAAAGAAAATATTGGATTTTCTTGGAATCATGCAAACCTTTTTACAGAGTCATCAACAGGTTTTCAATACAAAAACATCGCTTATGAACTCACCAGCTTTATGCTGATACTCTTTCAAAACTGTTTGTATTCTCAGGAAATCAGTAGACAGGTACCTCCTGGAGTTTTGAGAAGACGGAGCGTATAGAGTCACATCTTTCTATTTTGATTATAGTTTTGATGTATAAAAACAAGAATTAAACAGATGTAAACCCTTTTCATATATGTATTCAATGTAATGGTTGTGTTTACTATGATTGCTATGATACAATTGTTGTGATACTACACATGACGTCATCCACCCCCGAACGTTTCCGCCGTTCTGGTTTGGGGGTGTGACATATTGGTATCAGAGCTATTGTTTATAGTGAACTAGGTATACCGAACCTTACATGGTATACAACTATAAACACTAAGGGGCCGAAGTGCTCTGAACTAAAAGTATACTTTTAAAATATAAGTAATTTATAAAGAGTATACAAGTATCCATAAGTACTAGAAACAGTATCATAAGTAGAACAAAACAAAAGTATTTGGATGTTGGACACTGTGGTTAAACCTGGGTACTTATGTAATTATGTCTGGGATCAATATAGCCTGATCAATTATATTTATTTGAGACATGACCAACATGTGTCTGGGAGTGATCGCGGTGTTGCAGCAAGCCTAAAACTTACCAAGCTATATACATCAAGATACCAATAGAACATAACATACAACTTAAAATACTATAGGAGTATTTTAGCTAGAGCCGAATACAGTGTAGAGATTCATTCCAAGTGTCACTACTTATTTCTTCCTAGCGATATTACTTGCATTAGTAACCTTTCTCTGTCTATCGCTTAGTAGAACACTTTATCTATCAGGTTGAGATATATATTATGTTATATCTCTTGATTCTAAAATCCTAGAGGACTTATCGTCCTCTTCTTCTTCATTATTTTTAGAACAAGATGCCTCCCAGAAAGAGACCCAACAAGAAGAACAACAATCCCCCAACTGATCCAACGCCACCACCTCCTCAGTTCGACCCAGCTATGTTCCAGGCAGCAGTTACGGCTGCTGTGGCTGCTGCGATGTCGCAGATAAATCAGGGCAGCTCTGGTGGATCCGGAGGTGGACCCGATTCACAAAGTCATGGTGGAGGTCAGGGACATCAAAAGGAGTGTTCCTATAAGGAATTAATGAACGCGAAACCCAAACCCTTCGACGGCAGTGGAGGAGTCATCGCCTTAACCCGATGGTTCGAGAAGATCGAATCCATCTTCGAGATTTGCGCTTGTCCTGAGGCCAACAAGGTGAAGTTCGCCGCCTGCACCTTCACAGACAGAGCATTGACCTGGTGGAATGGTCGAGCCAAATCCCTAACCCTGCTGGTAGCGAACGCCATGGGTTGGGAAAGCTTAAAAGAACTAATGCTTGTTGAATACTGCCCAAGGGGCGAGATGCAGAAGTTAGAGCACGAGCTCTGGAACCTGAAGATGAAGGGTTCCGACATTGCCGCCTAC